CTTATTTTATCTACAAAGGTATTTTTAATCCGATTATCAGTAAAAGAAAAATAAATTATGCTAGTTTTTCACTGGCTTTTATTAAGATTGATTATTTAAATAAAAAATCAAACTAGAGGATATTATAGTATGTAGAATATATATATATATATATATATATAATGTATAAGGTACGTTGTTATGTATGGGTTGTGTAAAATATAGGCAGCTTGTGAATGATGTCCAAAAAAGTTTTAAAATTTATTATAAATATCTGAATTTATTAGCAAATGCCCTCTAATTAACAATTTAATTTGTTGTAGAACATTCCATTGTCTGTCTACTTGTAATAATGTTTTTATTTTTTAAAATAAATAAATATGAATACACACTGTTTGTTCACTGTGTCATTTTTTCTTTTCTATATGAGTCCCGATATACACAATTATATATCTATATATTTTTGTTGAATTGTTTAACTTGTATCTTTGTTCATTTAGCAAAATACTTATTGAATGTAATTGTGGAGATAGATACCTTCCAGAAATATTTACATGTACACGGTACATGTGCAACCAAAAATACCTTGATACTTGAAAATCGAAATGTTTATTAAATGGAAATTAATTTACAAATGTTTATACGGGAAGTAGATACATTTTGTTATGTCCATGCTGACACAAAAAAAAGTTTAATTGAAGTGGTTCTGATTAAATAAAGGATATCACATCAAAAAAAATTCTTTTTATTTAATTAAACACACTTCATAAATTTTAAGAACATATTTAAATGGAAAAAAGAAATTGACTATAACCAATAAAAATTCCTGTGTTGTCTCTCTATATAAATAATTATTTGTTGCAATGAATGCTCCCTAGGGTTCATGACCCTGAATATTGATAAGTTTTGGAGGTGTATATATGAGTGAAAAATTCTCGAACGGGACGTAAAACAACAACAATCAATCAATCATTAAAACGTTACTTTAACGTCAGTATGAAATTTAGAATATAGATAGATATAATGGGTTCCTACTTTATGCTACTATCGAAATTGAATGCAAGGACATGCATGCACTTGTGCTAAATCTGATTGGCTAATACTTTAAATTTTGTATCTCTCTTACTATTCAACATAATTATTTGAAATTTAAGACACTGGCATATGTTATAAGGAACTATAAAAATATACATGTGAGAAATTTAGAAATCACGTGCAAGCACGTGTGCTGAAATCTGACTGTAGCTTTGACAAAGGTAATAAACTTTCATTTGAAATTTTGGAAATATTATTTCTGGCAAGTTTTAGTGTACGTACTTTACCATGTTTAAGACCAATAAAAGCGTCTTTGGACAATTCCTGTATTTTGTTGTTGCTCATTCCGATTGTCGTCAAATTGGGCATGGTTGCAAACTCAGTTGGAAAAGTACAGTCCTGTATTTTATTTCCCTCCAATATTATATCATTAAGACCATCAAGACCTTGTAAATTTGGTATTGTAGTAAGATGATTACTTCCCAAATGTAAAAACTTCAACGAAGTATCATGAAATGTGTTAGGATGCAGCTTAATTAATTTGTTATTTGTCAATGTCGTATTAACAAGTACCGATAAATTGTAGAATGCACTATCTTCAGTAACATTTATTTTATTATTTTCCAATCGGATTGTCTTAATATTTGGAATGCAGACACCTGTGAACGTGTCGGACAAAATCGATTTGATTTTGTTGTTCTGTAACTGTAATTCCACAAGGTTTGTTAAGATACAGAAGTCATCTTTTCTGATATCCTGAATAAGGTTACGATCAAGAAGCAGTCGTTCTGTAGATTCTTCGGAATTCTCACAAGTTTCCTATCGCTGCAATTGACAACAAGTTTGGTACATGAACAAGGAGTTGGACACCGCTGTCCTGTTACGACCAGCAGAAGCTTTAGGGTGATGCTTACGTATATCAATCTTGTACACATATTTAAACACCTGCTAAATTAAAAAAAATACTTTGCGATGCACAAATAATTTTTATGTCTTTGTTAGAATAATATATCATATATATGCGTTCTTTGGCATTAACAAAAAGCTAGTTATACACCTTTACCTTTTAAGAACACAATTCAGATCGATTCAATCCGATAACAGCGTTTATCTGAACTATTGATAAAAAAAAAACACGTCATTACTTGATTTAGTAACATGGGAAAAATTGAATGGACATTATCAAAGTGCAAACATTGCAACTACTATTTTTAATTGCTTAGAAGCATGCGTTTGACATCGGGAAAGTATCCCACCCTTTTTCCAACCAACACACACATACAGACCTGCACATTATATTTTCGGATACCTCCGTATATTTACGGAGGTAATTTACTTTTGTATCGAAATTCCAATTTAAGTACAGCCAATGCGATGAATTCATGTAGTGAAATATACATTTTGTACATTAGGGTTATTTATTATTAAGGGATTCTCGGAGTTTTTGTTGAACTATTTCTAAGCTGATCGCGATCAAATTCCAAAGTGTAAAAGAAATTATTCAAAAAAATGAAAGAAAAGAGAGGTAAACCAAAATAATACAAAAGATTAACAATCAAATTTCAAAATAAAAAAGAAAAACAAATAACAGACTAGGACAATAATTATTAACAAAAGATCAGCCCCAAAATAATAACCAAATAATAAATATATCACACACACACCCTCACACAAACACATGCCACGCGGTCGCCCGCGTTGCGCAGTGGTTAGAGCGTCTGTTCTAGAGTCGCGGAGTAAGGAGTTGATCCTTACGTCCTTACCTTGCTCAATGACCTTAAGTGCCAAGTAAAGATCAAAATTTGCAGCCCTCCACCGGCAAGTGGTGGCGTCTCCATATGAGTAAAAAATTCTCGAGAGGGACTCTAAAACAACAAACAATCAATCATGCCAAGCGCAAATTAAAGGATTTTTAAATATTTAAATGGGAACAAAGAGAGGTATAAGTTTTATTATAAATGGTTGAAAATTAAACAGAATTTCCACTTGTACTCGCAAAGCACACACTCAGAGAAGGAAGATGGATGATGATTTTAGCATTTTATATAAAGAAAATAATTACATCTTCCTATTTATTATTGTAATTTTATTTTGATGAACTTTTCTTTTTTTATAGTTATGTCAAGTAAGACAAATGTTCTTTTTTCATCTTTAAGTCTATATGTAAACTTATTTTGGTCCAGATACTTCCGATTTTACTGAAATTCAAACACACTTCCATTCAGCAATGTCATATGTGTTTGAAATACATAAAAGTATTGTAAATATAATGTACACAAAAATATGAAAAACTATTTTCATGATTTACTATTAAATATAAACATTATATGGTGAAAACCACGCCGATACCCGTGGCAATAAAGCAGTCAGGTGTAACTAGTGCGAAGACTAATATCGTAGATAGTATAATCGACTATGACATATGCCTATTTACGAGTCCTGTTCAGCTTTAAATTGAAAAAAGTGGCTTATGGATGATTGCACTAGCTTATCGCAGGTTTTTTTTCCTCGGTCGCTTCTGTTGTTTTTATATATTTAACTTATTTCACTTTTGTATATTTATAAAAGAATCCTGCCAATTTGGAACAAAATTCAAATGTTATAATAATAATTTTAGACTGTGATACAATAAAATGATTCCATGTTTTATGTTCTACTATTTTCCAAATATAGAGAATTTACACATGTGTGCATGAGAGGTGGAGCTAACATGGTGTCATGTTGTTTTTGAATTTACCGGGTGGCAGTAAATACAAAGGATTCAAAACGAAAATAACAATCTGAACATGTCCATATAATAAAATCAGATTTTAAATCAATACCGGACGATGTAACGTGTTCGAACACAATGTCATACACCCCTACTAATGTTATTGTGATTTAAATTCAAGACACGTGGTCTTGGTTGACCCATTCAAAGGTTAAAGAGTAGAACTGGTTTTATAAATAATTTGGTAGTAAACAGGAAATTCTATAATTTGTTTCTTTTTAAGGATAAAGAACACAAACTTTTTTTTCAGAAATCAGCAATATTTCTCATTGATTAATATTCAATTGAATGTTTAACATGCGACAACCCTTGGCTACAACAGAGAGAGCGAATGTTAGAAAAATCAGTTCTTTTCTCTTTTTAACCATGAGCGCATGTTTGTCTATTAATCTCTTTTCCACATCAATGCAAATATACTACTACTGTTAAACGGAGAACAATAGATAAACATGTGCTGACTATGTATAAAGTCAGAGAAAAGGTGGGTGACCTAATTATCGAACCGAGATTCAAGAAATTTTGTTGACCCTTGTCTTTGAAAAAAGATTCGAACTTCAAAAATACACTTCTATTAATGAAATTACATAAAGTTATAGACTGGATGTAGACCATTCTTGCAATTTAAAAAAAATGCTTGTTTTAAAAGTTTACTAGTATTTTGTCCCATTTTTCGCATGTCCTTAAGTGCAGTCATCCTTTGGAAATATTGTTGATTTGTTATGTTCATGTACTTTCAATTTTTTCCTACAATATATACAGTTTGGTATATTTCTAAAAAAAATTTTTCCAAATTTTGGCTTTTATGTTAAAAATATGCTTTAACCGAACAAAGTTCGTCTCAATTTTTCGAACCTGCATGCAGTGGTTACATGTATTAAGCAATGCTAGCTGTCATTATTACTTAAAGAGAGAGAGAGAGATCTTTCACTCATACAGAATTAAAGTATTTTTGACACTTTTATTTCAAAACCACAAGAAAAACGCCCAAAATGTGCTAAAAATTTAGCACACTAAAATGAATATATATATATTTAAGGACATACGCAACATAGTTTGAACTTTATGTTCTTTTTCCCTGGAGTTGAAGAGTTCCAATACATTTTTGCTACATTTTAATGTCCATATATGGCGTTGTAAACTTCTTCTAAAAAAAGATTAGATAAACAAAACATCTAGAATATATGTTTATTAATTTTTGTATATTTTACTTTGAATTGTACAAGAATTTTCATCAATTGATATCTTTTCAAAACCCCTGGTAATGCATGCTGATTTTTTGTCTACGAATATCTGATGGCACTATAATCTTAAATTAAGAATATCTTGAAAATATCAGGAGGTAAGGTACATTGCGTATGTCCACAGTAAATGCTTAAAGAAAAGTGTAAAGTATATATGGTTGGAACAACTATTTAGTGTTCCATTATGTACAGTAAACGAAAAAAACAAAAACAATAACAGCTTGAATGTAAACGTATACTAGAAATATCTCTCATAAGCCATTAATCAAATATGATCATGCATGAAAACAATATACAGAATGAGCGATGCACATTTCATAATTTCGACAGATCTTCCAAGACAGTAGAAAATTATCATTTCATTACTCTTACTTCTGTCTTTAAGATAAGTAGTTTCAAACCTCCACTTCAGTAGCTTTGGTGACTTTATTCAATTCACGTTTTAGTTTTTCTTTAAAAACTTTTTTCGCATTGTCCTCATTCTCCCACAGTAAAAACTCTTCCCTGGAAATTTTCCTTTGAAGTGATTTCGGAATACACTTGAAAGGAACGCCCTCTACATTAATGACAATGATGTCATCGATGACGCCATCAGATTTCAATTTCACAGCAAGATCAATTTCAAACTTGTGTTTTGCACTGGACAAGTACTCCTTGGTCAAAACAATGATGACTTTTTTGCTTCTCTCAATGTTGTCAGAAATACTGGAGATCATGCTGCTCCCTGGAATAGAATCTCGGTCGTAGAAATATAATCTGAATTGTCCGTTGAACGGGGTTTCTGGTGTCAATTCACCCAAGTCAATATCTGGCAATAGGTGATGAAGAACCCAAACATAGTCATCATCTGCATACGATAAGTAGGCGTCGTACACCCATCCATCTCCGTCAAGACCATTTACCTTCTGGTAGCCATCTCTCGTGCTACGTGAAGAGCAACAATATGAATTAAGACGATAACACCGATACAAAATCCACCATCTCTTCTTAAAGAGCACAATACAAATTACAAGGACAACAAGTGCTGAAGCAACGGAAACCCCTATTACAAAGTACAGGTCAAACCAAACACAGACAATTTTAGTCCGATCAAACGACAAGAAATGCTTTCCCTTCCATTCACCAGGGGTGTTGCAGAGATAATCCTCAATATTTGCAACTTCCACTTTAGTTTGGTTAACCCAATCTCTAAACCACCGAAGGTCACAAGTGCATGCGAATGGATTGTTGCTTAAATTTAGCATATGGAAATTAGTATTTTTTGAGAGATCTTCAAGAGAAGACGAATTCACCAATGAAATGGTGTTGTAACTGAAGTCGAGGCTCCTAAGTGCAGCTGTGTGCTTAAATATACCATTGCCCCAACTAGATATCCTATTTCTTTTCATGTTTAGAGTCTGCAGGGATGTTAAATCTTTAAAAAGTTGACTTGGAAGAGTGTGTAGGAAATTTGTCGATAAACTAAGTGTTTCTAATTTGTGTAGTCCAGAAAACAGCGTCCCAGAAGCGTCGCTCTCGATTACATTTCCAAGGTCGTTACCATCGAGAAAAAGGTACTTCAGTGATTGCAGGTGCTTGAATGACACCAAGGGCAAAGAACTGCAACTGTTCTCTGATAACGAAAGATACAGCAAGGACGTCATGTACGAGAATATGTCTGGAGAATTTTGAATTGTTTTCAAGTTGTTCTTGTTCAGTTCCAAAGAAATAAGCCTTCCAAATGGAGCAAACAATTCTGCTGCTAAACTGCTAATGCTATTTGAAACGAGATGTAGTTTCTGTAAGCCCACTAATCCTCTAAAGGCAAATTTGTTTACTTCTGAAATTTTGTTCCCGCCCAAATAAAGGTTCTTCAAGGAAACAAGGTTAACAAAGGCATTTTCTTCTAGAGCCAGAATTTGATTACCATTCAAATATAATATGTTAAGCCTTGATGGAAGATTTTTCGGGACCTTGTCGAGAGAGTTATCCGCCAGATTTAGATTTGTGAGTGAAGACAGTCCTGCAAAAGTGTCGTTGGCTATTGTTTGGATTTTGCAGCCACTGAGCTCGATCTGTTCTAGATTCTTTAAGGAAGCAAATGCTCGACTCGGTAATTGTATGATTTGATTATTACTCATCAGTAGTTGCTTTAATCCTGTACCATTTAGGAGTGCGAAGGTCGAAGACGGTAAGCGTCCTCCTAGATTCAGTCTAGCGATGTTCAGTGAGCGAAGGGCGGATGATCGCAGTCCCTCCAGTCCTACCTGTAACTTTGTGGCTGTTAACGGATTCAGGCTGATTACCAACGACACAAGTTTTGTTAGGGGCAAGAATGCTCCACTGGATATATCAGTAATTTTGTTTCTGGATAATTCTAGCTTTCTTAATGCACTGTTTCTTAAACTCTTAAAGGTGTTATCAGTCAGGTTTTCGACCTCGTTAGCGCTGAGACCCACAGTTGCTAGTGAGGTCGACACCTCATAACTTGTGGGGAATGTAGCGTTTTTTATTTTATTTCCTTGTAGGCTAAGTTGTTGCAGCAAAGTTAGCCATTGAAGAGCTGGAATTGATCTCAGATAATTTTGAGCCAACTGCAAGAATGTCATGCCTGAACACTGATAGAAAGCGTTGGAGTTTACAGATGATATGTAATTATTCGTGAGGTACGTTATATTAAGGGTTGAGACGTTAAAAAAGGCATTTTCCTCCAATGTAGCGATGTGGTTGTTATCCAATCGTATAATCTTTAAACTCGCTAAGCAAATCCCCGAAAAGGTCAACGACTTGATCACTGACAATTTGTTATTTTGTAGATATAATTCTTGAAGTTGTGGTAAGCCACAAAACGATTTCTCCTCCAAGTCTGCGATTTCATTGTGTTGAAGGTACAATTTTTCTACCGATTTTGGAAGACCTGGGGGCACAGACATAAACCCCTTCCCTTCACAATTAACCGAGGTAAGCGCCTTGTTGCAAAAACACCGTGATGGGCAATGGTCGGTCCACACAACATCCATCATCAAAAGGCTAAGGCAGGCAAAGAGATTCCAACACATCATCTGCAATTCAAGATAAACTCTGACTTAATGTTAGAATGAGCCAGGCAAAACACTTATCTTGTCGTCAAATCTATCCTCCTAACGGCAATAAAACAGTAGAAATGGTTTTTAATGAATCATGTGATACAGAGACTTCAAATACTTTTTACTCGGAAATACATTATAATAACACAGATTACAAGTACAATGTACGGAAATGCCTGCATTACAAATGGCAGACTGTAATATGTGTTGGTAGTCACCGGTTGTTACAAATAGAATACCACCGCTTTATGTGTCAAACATTCGGAAATTGACACTCTGTCTCTATCTATTTGAACTTCCTAATACATGTACGATTAAAATATTTGTTGATTAAATTTTTGCTTAAATTTTTATCGAACAGAATTGCTATGTTTTTGTATGAATAATGTATTATATTTTAAAATTATGTAATTTCATAACAACATAAATTGCGTTAGTGAATTTGTCATATATATATATATATGACGAGGGAAAAAGTATTAATTTTCGAATGCTTTTAATTCAATAAATACTTCAATGAAATCTAAAAAAAAATATTCTTTAAAAAATGAAATCACAAGTTTTTTTTAAATTTTATATCCCATTGATTTTTCATGCTTATGATTCATGAGTATGGACAATTGTGAAATGAATTAAGTGCAACCCTAAAGTAATCGAGAGGCTCTGTAGACAATCAAGGAAAATATGGACAATTTTAACCTTGTTATATTCTAATATAGCAAATTAAAGCTGTAATGATGTTATATTCAAACTGCTGCATCTTATATATATCATGTCGCCATCTAAATTCCTCTCATCTGCCAGGGTCGGAGTGTATGATTTTAAGATAGATCTACTTATGAAAAGGTATAATATTTGATCTGGTCTATTTTCATGGTAACTTGAATAAGCTTTACATTACATGTACGCGTAGTCCAATACGAAAACGCCAGTATATGTCAGTTTATCAAACTATATCCTGACTGTTCTTCATCAGAATTCTGAAGATGATTCCCTTTCTTTCTTTTTAAATCAGTTATTATCTATATTATTGAACAGAAACAAAAAAGTGAAAGAAAAAAAATCAATGAAAACGTATACAAAAATGTATATGATAATGGCTCCCGATCAGCACTTTTTGTCTTTGCTTTGAGTATGACGAAAATGTCCTAAACTCCTTTTTAAATCCAATTTTTTAAAAAAGAAAATCGTGCATTATAAAATTTTTCTCGAAACGACTTTTATTTACATGTCGGGTATGCGCAGATAGGCAATGTATGAATTTCAAAGAAAGTTTCACATAAATTAAGGCTACAGGACACTTAAGATTTATTTTTCTTTAACATGGTCAGTATTTGGCAATTAACTAGTTTGTACCTCTGAGAAGAATTTAGTGAAATAATTACAGCAGAAAACTTCGAATTTCCCGAACATCTTAACTACAACGAAATAATTCGTTATTTATAGATTTTGAATATTTCGAATTCATAGCTGATAGCGCATATATAACTGTAAGAAACTTACTGTGGTGTCTTAATTGTGCGTAGGTGTTGTTTATGCATGCGTGCTGATTTTAGCAGGCCCGTAGAACGGGGGGGGGGGGGGTGGCAGGGGGGCCCTTTTTTCCGAGTATAGTATTTTGCTATAGTAAATTTTCCTTTAGATGCTGGATCCCCCCCCCCCGCCCCCCAACTTTTCCACTTTTTCATGTTGCAAGGTCAAGCATTGCCAAATTCCAGGATTTGGGAAGTAAATTAGTTTTTATTTTTAGCTTGTCAGATAATTTTGGGAAGTTGCCCCCCCCCCCCTCCTAACCCTTTATGGTAAGTTTATATTTTTTTTATTTATTTTTTTTTTTCGTCAGATTTTTTTTTGGGGGGGGGGAAGTTGACCCCCCCCCCCCTTGAAACCGTTGCTACGGGCCTGTTTAGTAATCAGTCCGAGAACTGGACTCGAACCAATGGTGAAGTGGGAAAATAAAATCTTGTTAATAATGATGTCGTTAAAAGATCACTGGGTGCGTTTATATATATAGACACTGTAAATTGGGTTTGTTTCAGGGCACTGCATACGCACAACGAAAATCAATAAATGCTCGGCAAACAACTGCTTGGAAATTCCAACTTTTCTTCGGAATACCTGGAATCGTTTTTGTTTATATGTCTATTAGAATTTGGACATTTAGAGGATTTAGTAAAAGCGTTAAAAGAAAATAAAAAATATATATTTTTTTAAAATGCGTATATTCAAAGTTTCTATTATAATTCTTTAGAATTTTTCATGATAGACGAAATCTAGTTTCATCTTTTATTCCATGAATTAGAGCTTTAAAAAATCAAATAAAATCAATATATCAAATAAATATAGTTGTAGCTTTAACTGTAAACTTAATAAGAATAGGTAAATCCGATAAAATGAGCAAGGTCCTTATACATGTATATCACTAACCAACCTTACCCTATCATAACACCTTGTCTAGCTCATTTCATTTCATTTCAGTATATTTACATTTCCAATGTCTTTGTCCGAGATAAAATTACAAACTGTAACAATACTTTATTTCTATATAAATCTACTGGTTCATCGAGAGGCGCGGTTAAAAGAAAAATCACGTGCGGGGCGGGACAAATAGAGACAGAAGCGGGACTATTAGCACGGGAATTTGCAGAATCAGGAGCATGTAAATATAAAGAATAACTGTCAGATTTTTTGGATTCATGACGATGATCAATCGATTGGCTTGCGTGATAATTTTATGCATAAACGCCTTCGGCGTTTATGCAAATTATCACGCAAGCCACTCGATTGATCACATCATGAATCCAAAAAATTAGGCAGTTATTCCTTAATAACAGGCATGATTACTTGCATTTTCCATGTACGTCTTTTTACTTAATTAATATTTAATGAAGGTATGCACAGTTGCAGCAACTTAAGGCGAATAAAAATATGTCATAATACTTGTATATGAAGAAGGACAACCTGACTAAGTAAACCTAATTTTAAAAGAAGACTATATCCAGCATTTCAATTTATTGAACAGTGATCAGCAATTCAAATTCATATCTATATATAACGTTATATTTAATACGATAACTGTCAGTGTTGAATCAGTCCACGACATACGAATTAAACAATTTAAGACTTTGCAATCTTTAATATTTTATACCAATAGATAATACATTTTTTCTTACCTTCCCACCGGTCTTTAAAGGAACAAAACACACAATCGAATCTGGCTCCTTTTTTAGATCCAGACGACAATTAACTGATTAGTCATAGGGGGAAAACCGAATTCTTGTCAAGGCCGCTACTGTAGGTCAGTGTTTTCAGAAAATACAGCTACAGGTGGGTCCAAAAGCTAATACAATACTGAAGAAAAAACACCAAAGGTAACCAAAAAGTTCATATTTTGAAAAGTCGTGAGATTTATATAATGAACAATTTTATAATACTCCATTTTTAATTGTAAAAAACAAATAAACAAAATAAAATCAATAAATGTTTTATTTTTAAACTACATGCTTTTAAATTTTCCCGTCTGTTCCATTTTTAAACCACATATCTGCAAGCTTCTAAAAATAAAACGTTACTAATGTGTGGGCGTCATATGCCGAACAACCCAACAAAAATGAGATAATTGAAAATAAATGTTGTCTGCGCTATCTCGTCATCTTGGATTTTCTTTCTATTGAAATGGAACAACAATTTGAAAAACTGAATTGAAGTATTAAATCAATTTAGTAAATATTACGAAAAAATCAGAATATTTATATTTTGTTATTGGTTTTGAATAGGTTTATCCTCTTTTTTTATTAAATCAATCTAGTGGTGATGTAGATCAACATTCAATTGTAGATAGCTGCTTAGGTTTAGTATATATGCTTACAGGCGCGGATCCAGGATTTTTTTTCCAGGGGGGGGGGGGGGGTCCAACCCAGTCAAAAGAAATTTCTAACCCAAAAATTTCTTGACAAGCAAAAAAAGAAAAAAAAAGAAAAGAAAAAAACACCTAAATTCCATTTCCAAAACGTGAAAACACCTATTTCGTGGTGGTGATGGTGGGGTCCACGTTTTCTAGGGGGGAGGGGGGTTCCAAAGTCATTTTTCATTTGCTTCAGTATATACTTTTTATAATTCCAGGGGGGTCCGGACCCCCCGATCCCCCCTCTAGATCCGCGCATGTAGGTTTAGTTATACAAGCGGATATGTTTCTAAAACTCTTAACCTATGGAAAGCCAACAGGGTCAAAATTTCAACTCTATACTTCTTAAAATGTACATATGTAAACCTTAAATTTGTAAATTGTAAATCATAATTTTATAATTTGTCATTTGTTCTATCACAGATAGTTAATTCTAACTATTCAACACAACTTGATAAGTGTAAAATGTAAGTGCAAGTTACATGTATGTCAGTGCTCACATGTAATTCGTAGGTATGGCATAGACTTTAGAAAACAGAATCTAAAAAGAATTCTGCTTGCAAATACAGGGTATATCTACATGTACTCCGGCCTGGAAGATCTGATACCATAACGTGTTGTAATCAGAGTTAATTCGTGACGTCAAAGATGTCTATAATTTTTTCACAACACAGAATGTGGATCCAGGATCGGAATACCGAATATTTTAGCAAACATTACCCAGCTTCCGAAAGGGATATTCTATTTGAAGACCCATATTTTCCAACGGTTGATACATGTAAGTCAGCAGAAGAAATAGGAGAGGTAAATCTTTCCCATTTGCATAATAAGGACTTAGCGACTGAACTAGTTAAATCAGGCTTTATTGTAAGGGGATTGAAACAGAAAGGTATTTAGTAGTATGCACGAGTTGCAACTACAAAGAGTGTATTTGTCAGGGTGTTGGAATGATAAAAGATCTACAGAAAAATCATTTTCTTTAGTCGGGAGAAGACTGTTCATTCCTTGTTAAAGAAAAAGGAGTTTATGCCATCAGGAATTTCCGTAGAGAACCTGAAATTCCAGTTCAATACACATCATCTAGTTTACTTATACTCATTCAGATGAGAAGAAATTCATTTAAAAAAAAACCTTTGTTCAAGTTAATTGGTCAATTGGTCGTATAGGTTTTTTTCAGCGAGAAATGTTTTCCTAATTAATTTGTGCTAAGACTAACATCCCAATGAAATGGTTTCTTTGCAAAATATGTAAAAGGTAGAGGTAGCAAACAATGATTGATCTCAAAAAATCTATAAACAATGCAAATCTGTGAACAGGACTTAAAACATGGACCCCTAGAAATTCCAGAAGTGGGATCAGGTGCCTCGGAGGAGTAAGCATCTCCTGTTAATCGAGGTCATCCGAAATGTTAAACAGTTTTATGTACAGTATTTCTTGTAAAAACATATTTTCAGTAACTTAATTTGATTTCATTGTAGATTGCCTTGTATTATCAATATTATTAAACTGACTTCTTGATGAAATTGTAAATGATCTTTTAATAAATGGCAGACAAATAATTTAGTTATTTTGTCTTATCATCTCCAGACAATAAGACTGCTGTTTTATTTTATATACAGAAATGATTTTAATCTCTATCATATCTGCAATAACTGTTCAAATATTGCTGATGCACGATTAATACAATAATTTTGGAATAGATCACACCCTCATGCATAAAAAAGGCAAAATTTCAAACATTTGTCCATTTTTTGTATTTATTCTAACAGCAGCCACTTTGGAAATATTTGAAACCCCTGAAACTTTGGGAGACATACATGTGCATCAATGCTTTATATGCGATCGTTGGTAATTCTATTTGTAATGATGAAATAAAATGTAATCAGCTGGAATGTTTTATATCAGAGGTACATGTAATCATTAATCAGCAAAATATCCGATAAGTTAAACATAAGCAAGATCTTTGGAAACCTGACGTCACAATCACAAGAAGGTCCTTAGAAAATCATAAGAGAAACTGCCATTGTCAATATATACAGAATATTTCCAAAAGTCAGATTTTTCAACAATCTATCAGAGTTCCCATGGGTACTTCTTGTGTTCAGTTATTAGCAGACTTGTTATTGTATTCTTATGGCAAACTAACAACTAAACGTCGTGAAAAACATAATGACTTTAACTTTTCTATTATGCTGTGGTGTTTGCCTCTCAAAAGATTTGACATTCTAGAGCACGTTCCAAGTACGCAGAGGCAAGCTGCTGACAAATAAGTTGATGTAATAGGGTTTTAACAATTTCGTTTTAAGTCTGTAAAATTATGATCGATATAATGACCTTGGGTGTGACCGGTCAACAGGGATTGCTTACTCCTCCTAGGCACCTGATCCCATATTTGGGATTTCCAGGGGTCTGTGTTTTATTCCCTCTTCACAGATTTGTATTGGTTTATAGATTTTTTGAGATCGATTACTCACTGTGTAGAAACGGACTAGGGTAAAATGCGTTACCCTAGTCCAAGATGGCGACAGGCAAATACTCTTCGATTATTATGCACTTAGTTTACGCATTATACAGGCTTATATTATCAAATCGGTGGTTTTAATTTAAGTATTTTAAAGAAAAGTACGTACCTATTGCAAAAATTTTGCATGATCTGCTCTGATTAAAGCTAAATTACGGGTAGAAAATTTGAACAAGATTAGGGTAACGCAAATTTACGACTAGTGTAAAGATTTTATAACATCTTTGAGTGACTAGGGTAAAGCATATGTAAAATGTCATTTTGCTTTTTTCAGGGTTTAAAAAGTGCTATTTCAGCAGAATCAGAACGCACTCTGCCTGTAAATTCATAATTCATTGCACCAAACACTATGTAATTGAAAAATTCTCAGTGCGCTGACAATTTCTGAAAGAGCACAATGGCCTAATTTTGTTCAAATCAGTTTCTGTTTATAAAAAAATTGAGTCTTGAAAACAGTCTTCTGTTGATTTAGATTACGGTGAAAAACTCTTCAAATATCTACAAATCAATTAAAGTATCATCAATGAAATTAGAAAATAACGAACAGAAATCATACTCAAAATCCAATTTAAACGATACAAATTATGAGCAGAGCATATATGGTCCTCTGAAAAGTGAAAACAGAGGTGGGATAAGGTCCATGGATGAGTGAGCATACCCTGTCGACCTGTAAAACCTGCCGTGTACTCTTTATCATGATCAGATAAATGAGAAAAAATGGCCTAATAATTCGTATGAAAGACGGCAGTCAACATTCGACTTAACGATAGACTGTATTTGCAAGCAAGATCATTGTATCAATCATAGAATTTGTGAAATGTCGAATTTAAACGAGATGGTTGATATCCTTGTGTCATTAACTTATGTGTATACTCTCTCGATCTCGATTACTTTTTTGTATTTAGATTTGGATATTATACAGAAAATGTTATTTTATTGGCACTTATACGCTTAACCCTAAATTGAGAAAAACGGGCAAAATAAACTTTGCTGTACCTAATGAGAAAACTTTGGCAAAGCATTTGTCAAGGAGTAAGATAAATGCAGATTAACCTGGGCTTCGATTCAGAAAACTTGTGTAAGTTGGGTTTTTTTTCATAAAAATTGCACCTAAGTACTTAAAATATTCTTAACTATGAAAAAAATTGACATTCAATAAATTATTCTTAGAAAATCAGACCATGTCGAGTACCAACAAATGCAAATTAGATATAGGTTGTTGACTCATTTTCGATGATTTCGCCCAAAGTGGGGATTAATAGATACAAAGAAGATTTAGATCTATACAAGAAACAATACTTAAAGTTAAATCAAATAAATTAATTAGATCATTTATGCATGTATATTTATTTAACAACAAAATACTGTAATATATATACCTGAAACAGAAAATATAACGTTCATAATAAGAGTAATATTTTGAATGAAAATCGTGGTTATTAAAAAAAATTGCAATCGGTATGACCTCTTTGTGGAAGCAACAGTTCTTGAACATTTTCGAGAAAGCCTTTTCTAACTATATAAATTGTATAAAGCAGATAAAAAACCAAAATCGTGCACAATCAGATTATAGGCTTAATTACTTTACCCTAGTCTCGAAAAAACTTTACCCTAACCGTATTTTTTTGTATGTTATTTAACGTCCCTCTCGAGAATTTTTCACTCATATGGAGACGCCACCACTTGCCGGTGGAGAGCTGCAAATTTTGTCCTATACTCGGCACTTACTGCCATTGAGCAGTGAGGGATCTTTTTCGTGCCAGCACCTACTGCGACATGGGACCTCG